GATTCTCTTGCCTCAGCCTCCCAAGTAGCTGGGACTACAGGCGCCTGCCACAATGCCCAGCTATTTTTTTGTTGCAGTTTGGCCAGGGCAGGGTTTGAACCCGCCACCGTCAGTATATGGGACTGGCGCCCTACCCACTGAACCACAGGCACCACCCGTGCATATTTCAACTAAAGAAAAAACATAGCAAAAAATTTTAGACCATAAAATGAGCAAAATCCCAGCTAGTGGGGAGGTTAAGGCAGGAATATCCCTTGAGCTGAGAACTTCACGGTTGCCACGAGCTATGATCATACCACTGTACTCCAGCCTGGGTGCCTGATTAAGAGAGACCTTATTCTCTAAATAAGCAAAAGGAACAACATGAAAATCATCCATGATCCCACTGTGCAGATAATTCTGTTAATTTACTTTAGTTTTTACTAAACTTACATATACACCTGTAAAATGAGGATGTTGCCTGGCATCTTGTCTGATTTTGTTCTTTCACGACTGTGTATCACTGGTCTCCTCTCAGAGTATTAACTCGTAGGAGGCATGGATCGTGTCGTGTTTTTCGACTCCCCAGGCACACCCTGTGAGTGTGACAAAATACTGCTTTATTCCTTCCTGTGCACTTGTCATTTTCAATGTTCAGAATTGGGAGGTTTCAAGGACTTTCTGCTGGGGCGATCGCAGTCAGCCTCCTGCCTATACCATCTCTAGAAGGAAGATGCTTTGGATCTCTGCTCTTACAGTCTTAAGGTTGCTGTGTTTGCCTTCAGCCCGTTAATTATAGACATTAAAATAAATCCCAAAATATTATAAAAGTAGGTCTTGGCTGAAAGGAAGATTGTCAAATAAGAAGGAAAATCTGAGAATCAGATCAGCAGAAGAGAAACCATCCTTGAGGGAAAGATGATTAAAATAACTTATTGGTTTTGTGACTCACTATTGTGTGGGTTTAAAAAAGTTAATAGGGTATCTTTTGAAAAAAATACCTAAGCACATTCCTTTGTTCATTTTTTATAGCATTTGGGTTTGGTACATAAGACAGAATTTGGCCAGGCCAGTGGCTCTTCTCTAATCCTAGCACTTTGGGAGGCTGAGGCAGGAGGATTGCTTGAGGCCAAGAATTCCAAACCACCCTAAGCAAGCCTGTCTCTACAAAAAATAGAAAAATCAGCCAGATGTGATTTACAAGTGGCACATGACTGTACTCCCAGCTGAAGCAGAAGAACCACTTGAGCCCAGGAGTTTGAAGTTTGAGGTTGCTGCTGTGTCAATACACTACATCTAGCCTGGGTGTCAGAGCAACACCCTGTCTAGATTAAAAAATAGGGCAGAGCCTGTGGCTCAAGGAATAGGGTTCAAGCCCAGCCCCAGCCAAACTGCAGAAAAAAAAAAAGAATTTCACAATTCTAGGCAGGTGCTAAGGTCACAAAAATAGGCCCTATTAGACTAGGTAAGTTTATTTGTTTTTGGTTTTTGTTTGTTTGTTTTGAAACAGAGTCTGTCTCTGTCAGCCTGGGGAGAGTGGTATAGCATCATTGCTCACAGCAACCCCAAACTCTTGGGTTCAAGCGATTCTCTTGCCTCAGATTCCTGAATAGCTGGGACTACAGACCCCACCACAACATCTGGCTATGTGTTTTTTTTTAGAGACAGGGTCTTATTCTTGCTCAGGCTGGCTCAAACTCCTGAGCGCAGGCAATCCACCTGCCTCAGCCTCTCAGAGTGCTAGGATTACAGGCATGAGCCACTGCGCCTGGCCTAGGTAAGTTTTTGATGGAAGGAAACATTCATACTAGTCTATGAGTTTGACGTTGGTGTCGACTCGCTCTGGGCTGAATGGAAGTGGTCCTGGGCTGGTAGATAATAATTTGCATTTTGTCAGTTTTTTTCTATTTGCAGGCCACTCTTACATGTGTGAATTCGTGTAACCCTCAAAAAGCATGTGAATGTGACAGAGCATTGAAACCGGCCTATGAATCTAGGCCATCTGGGCTTTACAGCCGGACCTCTCCACCACTCTTGCTGTAGGGCAGTATTCCAGAATGGTCCGAGTCCAGAATTGTTCAGAATGCCCAGGGAGATGGCTCTGGCTCAGCTCCTGACTTAAACCTCATTTTAAATGATTAGATAACTCCAATCTCACAGCTTTCATTCATTACCAGCCATTCACTGTTGACCCCAAATTTTTATCTCAAGAAGTAACGGGCTTCCCCTCCTGTACTACAGGACTGGGGATGACCTCAGATTTAATGCATTCGAGTCTGAATTCCTTATGCACCCCCACAAACCTGCTCCTCTTATTAAATGACAAGTCATCTTTTTAAGCTACTAAGGCCAAAAACCTTGGCGTCATCCTTGACACTTCTGTTACCCTCTCTCCACTCCACGACCTTGGCCTGTGCCACTTGACTCTTTCTATTCCAGCAGCTTCATCACTGGTCCTCCTGCCTCCCACCTTGTCCTCCTTTATCAAGACAGCAGCTGGGCTGGGCCAGGTGGCTCACACCTGTAATCCTAACACACTGGGAAGCTGAGGCGGAAGGATCACTTGAGCTCAGGAGCACAAGACCAGCCCGAGCAAGAATGAGACCCTGTCTCTACTAAAATAGAAAAATTAGCCAGGCGCTATGACAAGCGCCTGTAGTCACAGCTACTCAGGAGGCTGAATCAAGATCACTTGAGCGCAAGAGATGGAGGTTGCCGTGAGCTATGATGACGCCACGGGACTCAACCTCAGAGTGACAAAGTGAGACGCTTTCTCAAAAAGAAAAATAAAATAAAAAAGCAGCTGGCATGATCTTGTTAAAACATAAGAGGATGTCTCTTCTGTCCCAAATCCTCTGATGGCTTCCCAATGCCCTCAAAAGTAAAGAGATCGTTGGCTCGGAGCCTGTGGCTCAAGTGACTAAGGCGCCAGCCACATACACCTAAGGTGGTGGGTTTGAATTCAGCCCAGGCCCGCCAAACAACAATGATGGCTGCAACCAAAAAAAA